TTTTTTTTCTTCTAAGCTCCTGGTTGCATTTTCCTGTAACATCTTCACCCCATGTTTCTTTGAAATGTCAATTCTATCTTACCCTTGAACAAATAAAGGGCTGGAAATATAGCTTCGTGCAAAGGCTGTGGATTCAATACCCCATATCAACAACAAATCATTTTTAAACATGAACAGATTTGTTCTTTCATTGGAGGAACACCTTGAGTAATGATTACAGTGGCGCTTATTGCTTTGAAACGTTTATCATAGAAGCCAATGCTGAAGCTTGTGTTTTAACTTTTGAGTATGTCTGTCTCCAGCAAGCAAGTTGTTTTGAATTGCTTGTACTATTACCGAAACTGTAAATCTACAATTTGTCTCCCTCCATTGCACTGTTTTTATTTATTTTATTATTTTTTTTTTTTTTGCGGAACCGGGGATTGAACTCGGGCCCTTGCGCTTGCCAGGCAAGTGCTTATTCCACTGAGCTATCTCCCCGGCCCCCGCACTGTTTTTAATTAGTATTTGTATTAGTACATGTTTGCAGTACACGATCACATTCATCATAAGGAGTTGGCACATATATATCGCACATCCTAATTCTTTTTACATCTCTTTTCCCACCCTTGCCTCCCCTCTGTCCATCTCTTGGTCCTCTACCCATTTACAAAATACCTATCTTCCTGTTCCCATTGCACTTTTTTTGTCTTTCCTTCTTCTTGTAACTAAAAAGTATTTTTCCTGTTAGTTGATCGTATTAAATGTAAAAATTGAAAATTAAAGACATTTATTTATTTATTTAGTGCCCAGCTCAGCCCGCCTTGGGGATGGAACCGCGGTCTCTTAAAGGCTTTTGAGTTTTTTGGTAGTGTTGGGCATAATTCTCTTGGGAAATGATCATATGATCTGTTTCTTACAATCAATCTTTTAAGACTCACAATTTTGTTGTTACTTAGTCAATGAGAAAAAACTAAACTCTACTAGAGTCAAAAAACTTCCTCAGGACAGCAGAATGGTTGGAAGTCACAAAGGGGATTGTAGAAATTGTGACCCAGGAACTACAGAATTGTGGAGTTGGTGTGGGTTTTTGCTTCTAAAGACAGAACCCTCCATTCTGCAGAAGGGAACTATAAGCAATCTTCGCCTTGGTCGCCGACCGGAAGCTGGTTGAAGGCGGAAGCAGGGCGTCCGTTGTCCTTAGACCTTCTGGGAAATGTAGTTCCGGGGCTGCTTCCGCCCAGAAGAGGGGGGCGTGCCAGCATGTTTTTGGTCCGGAAGGTGAGTACAGTGCACCCTTTGCTTCCACCACTTTTCGGAGCTCTTTCATCTAGCGGGTGGGGCCCGATTGGGTGGTCGGGTTAGCCCCGGGAAATCGCGGCTGCCGGAGGAAGGAGGGCGGAAGTCGGGTTGCCCTCCCGTCCCCTTGCTGCGCTGCTACTTCCATCCGTTGATGACCTGTGCTGTAGTTTGCAGATCCGTGAAGTAGCGGGGAAGCTGGCAGTTACTGGGTAGGGCGTGATTAGCATCAAAGCAGACGGAACGTGTGGTTAAGGGCTTGGAGCCTGATGATGGGTTTCCCTTGGCTGCTGCCGGCGATGCTCTCACACGCGCCCTTTTCTGGAAAGTCCCTTGAAGAGAAATTAGGGCAGGGCTCCCGGCCTTTTCGTTCCATCATTCAGGGATAAGAGAGGAATAAGAGGTGCGAGGTGCACTCTCACCACGTGTCTTTCTTCACCCCAGTGAGAGCAGGGAGAAAGATATAAAGTAGAAAGTCAGTGATCTGGATTGATTACATATTGAGATGATGTTTTGGACAAATTATGCTGCTAAATAAAATATATTACTAAAATTAACATCACCTACTTATGCATTTTGTTTATTTTTTGCATTTTTAAATTGTCACTACTAGAAGATCTAATTTTACTTATTACGTTTTTCTTGGACAGATGTAGATAAATCAGAAAATGTACTCATGAATAAAGAAAAATTAAGTCTGCCTTTTATTATAACCATTCTCCGAGTTGGTCATTATTGTTCTTTTTTTTTTTTTTTTTTAAATGTATTTGGTACAAAGTCCCACTACACGGCTCTGACTCATAGTGATCCTCCTGTTTTCGGCCTCCCCAGCACTGGGATCACGGGCGTGCACCACCACACCTCCTGGTCTCGGCAGCGCCTCAGCACATCCGGGGTGGGGCCAGCACAGCATGTGGTGCCCGGGATTGAACCCCGGACCCCACTTGTCAGGCAGGCACACAGATCTCTGAGCTATCTCCATGGCTTAATTATTCTTGATTTCTTTTTAAGAAAGATTATTCTGTTGTCAACATATTTATAAATATTTCGTTCTCATTACTTCTTGCAAGCTGGGACTGGTGGTGCACGGCCGTAACCCCTGCTCCCTTGCAGCCATCCCCTGCCTTAGCCGCTGGGTACTGGGACTGCGGCTGTGTGCCTCTAGGCTCAGATTTATTACCTTTTGAAGGAAGGCCCCCATCTTGCATTCCCCTATTTTCATGTTTAAATAAATGTTGGAGCTTTTAGATTTATTTTCTAAACTAATTTAGATTAGTTTAATCTAAACTAATCTTGATTAGTTTTTTTTTTCTTTTTTTTTTTTTTTTTGCGGAACCGGGGATTGAACTCAGACCCTTGCGCTTGCCAGGGAAGTGCTTACTCCACTGAGCCATCTCCCCGGCCCCAGTTTTTTTTATTTTTCATCTTTTTTTTTGTTTTTTTTTTTTTTTTTTTTGCTTGTTTTTTTAATCTCCATGCACATAGCATAAAAGGGATTGAGCCGTGAACCTCTTCTGATGTCATGAAGTAAATTGATTCCAAAATAACACTTTATAGAAAACTGAAACCAGTACCAATAAAAAATTACTAGTGGGGTAGGCATGACAGAACATGCCTGTAATCGCAGCACTCAGGAGGCTGAAGCAGGAGGAACTCTGTAAGTACAAAGCCAGTCTGAGCTACTGAGTGAGAACTTTCCTCTCTCTAAATAGATAGATAGATAGAGACATAGATATCAAGCAGCAAATTATAAAGTAAATTATTTTAATTCAGAATTGCATGGGAGCACAATCTTCATAAGAACCGTTATAATACAAAGTGTCATCTGATTTAAAATATCTATATTTTTTTAGCTACCAAGGAAGGGAACTCTGGTTCTTGAAATTTTCCATCTACTCATTTAACCCTTGGAACCACCCTATGAGGTAGGTACAATGTGTATGATTCTCACCATCATTGACAGATGACAAACATAAGGCACAACGAATTGTTTTTTTTAACATCCCCCGGGGTTACACAGATGGTTGTCACTTTCAGAGATTAAACAAAGCACTCGAGTCCAGGGCATGCTGTTTTGTGGCCCACATGTTGTCATACTTCCACCCGTGTGCTGTCATTCCCAGGATTAGACAGTTTTCAGTTTAACCTGGCTCTTCCCTATTCATTTGATAGGCACCAGGCTCTTCTTCTTCGTTTTTTTGTTTTTTTTTTTTTTTTTTTTGTAATGAGAGTTGAACTCAGGACATCGTGCTTGCCAGTTAGGCACTGTGCCGCTGAGCTATCTCCCCGGCCCAAGATTAAACAGTTTTATGGAAAGCTGGGCTGTAGCTCAATGTAGAGTACTTGGTGGCATATACAGGACATGAGATTCATCCCTAGCTCCATAAAAATAAAAAACTGGTAGGGCATGGTAGTACATGCCTGTATACCCAGCACTCGAGAGGCTGAGGCAGAAGGATCACTGTGTTTGAGACCAGCCTGGGCTACAAAGTGAGCTCAAGTCAAGCCTGAACTACAGAGGGAGACCCTGTCTCAAAAATAAATAAATAAATAAAAAGGAGGTATGGGGAAGGGAGATTATTTACAGAAATTTTTCTTTCTTTTTTTCTTTCTTTCTTTCTTTTTTTTTTTCTTTTTTTGGTGGAACTGGGGATTGAACTCAGGCCAAGGAAGCGCTCATTCCACTGAGCCATCTCTTGGGCCCCTACAGAAATACTTGCAGTCTTGGTACTGTTCACAGCCCAGTGGCACTGAACTGGAAGGCCAGTTAGTAACTGGGATCTAGTCCCTGCTCTGATCACCAAACTCTTACGTAGCTGCATCTGTCCAGAAGGCAGCAGGGGCACCCTTGGGTCATTTCCATGAAGATCCACTGGGTTCGTGTCAGCTCTGACCTGTGTCTCATGGCCTCCTTGTCCTTCTTCAGTTATGCCTTTCCAGGACACTGACCTTCCCCAGAAGGAACAGGAGAAAATGACCAGGTTTCAGGTACAGTTTTCTCCTGCCTTATGATATGAAATTAATTTCCCCAGGGATTTTTGGTTGCTGTATTGTGTTTCAATATCCTCTCTCTCTCCTGAATTTTCTCCTGCCTCCAGGAGAACTACAGGATTGAGGTGACCTGTATTTGATGTTGTAGGAGGCAGTGACATTCAAGGACGTGGCTGTGGTCTTCACCACAGAAGAACTGGGGCTGCTGGACCCTACCCAGAGGGAACTGTATGAAGATGTAATGGTGGAGAATTTTAAGAACCTGGTTGCAGTGGGTAAGGACCTTGAACCTCACCTCCCCTGAGGGTCTGTGTCCTCAGCTGTTCAGGGCTTTGGGCCATTTGAAATGGTTCCCTGCTCTTGAAAGCAACATATTTTCTAACCCCTGGGATAACAGAGAGAGAGCTCTGGGATTTGAGCTGATGCTAAGCTCTGTCCTTTGAAATCAGTGGTTTTCAGTGGGGGTGATCTTTCTATCAGAATACTTATCACAGTCTGGATTCCGTTGTCATAGCCTGGACAGGAATACATACAGGCACTTGGATGGTGGCTGGGGATGGCGTTCAACTTCCTGCGATGCTCAGACACCCTACAACACAGGATGGGCCAGTCCAAAGTAGCAGCAGTGCCCCACCCGAGAAACCCTGCTTTCCATGAATTGTAAATGGACGGTTTAGTTTATGTAGTTTGCCTTGCAAATTATGGTTATGACTCATTGGTGGGCCATGAAATAAACTTGTTGCTTTGCACTGGCATTTTTTTCTAATGAAATAAATAATGTTAGAACATACCAGAATTCCTTCTCAGGAGTCCCACATCAAAGCAAAAACTGACCATTTTCAGTGAGACATAACTGTGGTATTGGAAACATGATTAAACATGTTGAAAACATGATGAAAAGTGACACTGATTTTCCTTTTTCTTTTCTTTTTTTAAAATTTTATTTATTTATGTGTGTGTGTGTGTGTGTGTCCAGCTCAGCCCACCAGGGGGCGGGGCTGGCTGGCATGTGGTGCTGGGGGATTGAACCGCGGTCCCTGGGCTTTGCTGAGCTTGTTCTAAGTAGGTGCTTTAGACCACTGAGCCATCTCACCAGCCCTCCTTTTTTCTTTTTTAATTTTTATTTTTTTAATGTATTTGGTTGTTACAGGGTCTCATTACACAGCTTGAACTCATAGTGATCCTCTTGTTTTCAGCTTCCAGGCTGCGATTGTAGGTGTGTACCACTATGCCTGGACTCTGTGGCCAGCTCAGCCCTCCTGGGGGCAGGGCTGGCAAAGCATGTGGTGTTGGGGATCAACTGTGGTGCCCGTGCTTGCCTAAGCAGATGCTTTAGTCTGCTGAACTATCTTGCCGGCCCCTGGTTTTCAATTTAACTTAAAATAGATATAAATTAGGCAGAGACCTAGTTTACTAAATTTCATTTCATTTCTTT